TTGAAAATTACGTGCAATTTGCACATTGCACCTTTGTATTTCGAACTCTGGAACGGGTATAGCACTTTTAGCCCTTTTTTTGCCATTAATAGCCATTAAAGTCCCCCAAATGAGTCATTTGGAAGTGGTGTATGCCAAATATGTGACTGCTATTCTGTAGACACATGTTCAAGGTACCCTTATACCGAATTTCAGGTGATTTGGTTGTAAAACCAGGGCTCAGGATCCAAAAATCCATTTTTTGGCGAAAAAATGCCCCAAAAAAACCTTCATAAAAATTTTTCAAAGGCATGTATCAAAAAAATGAAAAAAACGCCTGGGGGTATTGGCCCACTCTACCTCCATGCCAAATTTCAAGCCATTTGGCTGAATGATGGCGGAGTTGAATCCCTTTGACTGTGTGGCAGGAGAAGGAGAAGAAGGAGGAGAAGAAGAAACATCAGAGAACACAATATATTTCATCCATACCATGGTATGGACTGAAATATAAAAAAACAGGCCTAGGCATCCTATTATGGTCCAAAATGGTACGATAGGAGCCATGATTCAACACACTATGCTGGTTCAAAATTGAAACAATGAATTTTGAACTTTTAATGATACCATTGCATTGAAAGATGGGATAAATGTAACAAATAGGAAGAAAAGGACTGTTTTCATCTGTTCAGGGCAAAATATGAGCATTTTGCAGTTGATTCCGATTTTTTTTTTTTGCAAATCAGAAAATTGAAGCGGGCGAATCTGTTAACCAAGAAATTAAATTGGTGTGGCCTTATTAAATAATATCAACAATTAATAATATCATTTTTGTCATGTCATTGACAGTTGTGGACAAACAGCCCAGTGGAGGGCTCCTTTGGAAGAATTACATAGGCACGGCAGGAAACTTCACATGGTGGGCCTTGTGGGGGGGGGGCATTATTGATTGTTGTGTCCCAAACCGTGCCTTGTCCCAAACCATGCCTGGGCATGGTTTGGGACACACGGCGCGTGTCCCAAACCGTGCCTTGGGACTGAGCACAGTTCGGGACACGCGGGGACTGTCCCGAACCGTGCCTGACCGGGCACAGTTCTGGACACATAAGGGCCTTGTCCCATTCCGTGATTTGGGGGTGGAGCTTATTGTTTTGAGGGAGGAGCCTTCTCGCGGCGTGGTTTACTGTTTTAGGCCGCCATCTTTGTTTTTCGTCGGGGCAAGAATAAGAAAGAATCGGTGTAATTGTTGCTCTGTAAAGTTCATTTTAACATTTCACGCTGGTCTACGACTTACATGTAGTGTCCAAACAGAGTGTCTTGTATCAGTCTGCAACACAATGCGAACACAGTTCTTGATACACCACAGCACGTAGTATACCCAAGAAAGCAGACTGACCCGGTCAATCAGAAACAACACTTGCTTATCCACCAACCCCACGCACGGATCTGGGTAGTCCTGACGCGTATCCACGACAGACTAGAGCAAATCAACTTGTAGATAAACGAAGTGTTCGCTCAGAACCGTGCTTCAGGTCGAGCACAGTTCTGGACACGCGATGGCCTTGTCCCAAACCATGCCCGGGCACGGTCTGGGACACTCAGCGCGTGTCCCGAACCGTGCCTGGGGACTGAGCACAGTTTGGGACACGCGGATGCCTTGTCCCAAACCGTGCTTGGGCATGGTTTGGGACACTCGGCGCGTGTCCCAAACCGTGCTTGGGGAAAATCTACATTCTGGGACACGCGGGGGACTATCCAGAACCGTGCCTGACCGCACACAGTTCTGGACACGTATTATTAAAGCTTGCGTGCTAGGGGACTGAACATAGTTCTCATAACATGTGTCCCAAGTTCATGTCGACCAAACATAAGACTAAGTTGTGGGAAAACTGTGTTTTGAAAGCACATGCTGTACACAGACTCACAAAATCTCACGTAATCTAGCCATATAAGAAATCGTGGGCGTGAATAATTATGTTTAGGTTCCCGCCAATCACTATGATTGACAGCACCTCCGGGCACGGTTCCGGACAGTCAGGCCGTGTCCCGTTCTGTGCCCGCTCAGGCACGGAACGGGACGGGCACAGTTTGGGACACAACATTGATGAACATATTAAATATTCCACTTGTTCAACCGATTTCAATATGTTATTTACATGTACATGTAGATCCTATAGAAAAATTCAATTTTATTCTCAGGGGAGGTAACCAATATAGTATTCAAATAGGAAAATACATTAAAAAATGTTTCAATCTTACAGACTACATGTTAGAGAATAGTTAAACCTTTATTGTTAGCCCTGATATATATAAAGAATCTGTACGTAATTTGCCACATATATTGTGTACGTAGAATAAAGTCATCCATACATGTATTTAACTTGTTAGACCTTTAGTTGTAGAAGACCATATAAAAGTCCCTGTACTTTTTGTTATGTCAATAAAAAATCTTTATCTTTATCTGAATTCCTTCAATATCAGAGAAGCCCACATGTACATGTACCAGGAGATTAAACACCAGCTGACACCCAGCATGCTTTCTCAGGAAGAGAGTCACATCAGGGATCTACATGGACTAGCCTGGGTGCCATCTGATTTGCCCCGGTTGTTGTTACTGATTAGCCTGGTTACCAAACCTATAATTATAGCTCCGCAAAATTGCAGAGAGGATGTACATGTAGGACTCGGGGAGCTATAATAGGTTTGGCAACCAGGCTACTTACAGATTGGATGGAACCCAGGCTAACACAGATAGACAGGATATGAACCTTGATGGTTAAGACAACATAACACACAAGGTAGTGTTTATTGAAAAAAATTGCTCTTTGTCTATGAATTTTGTTGATGATCTGTCAAATCTTTGGTCACCGAAGTCCATGCCCGTAGCCAGGGGTTGTTCGGAAGAACCCCCCCCCCCCCCAC